TCGCAGATAGCCCTCGTGTAGCTTTGCGCGAAATTCAAAAACAAAACAAACCCGAAAAAGAGAGATATTATATCAACACTAGAAAAGATAATTCACATATTAACTGAAAGAGGTGAAAAGGTGATTCAGATACCATATGAAATCACAAGTCTCATCTATTTACTTTTATATATACCTGTGATTTAATATGTAAGAGAGAGAAAAAAAAAGCTTTTACAACTAAATTCGGAATTAGAAAAATACTGCCTCGATGTTTCGATATCACTAACAGGTGGCGGAACAAATTTTAAATTTTCTTTTACAGGGAGCACCAATACATAAGTCTCTATTTCTAATTCAAAGGGCACTTCGCTACCAGATAAAAAATTGTGTGTGTGTGGTGGGGGGGGGGTTCCTATTGGATTCGGGAAAATCCATTAGTCCTATATATAGCGCGCAGTAAAGTTCACCACTGAGGTTGAATACCATTACTCCATATAAATGGCGGAACTGGAGTGAAACTGAGGACATATACCCCCTCCCCCCCCTTTCAATTTCATTATTAGAAAAATAATTTACTTGTCGTTAGGCATTAGTAAGAGGCATATTATATTTTAACACTGCATTATATATCTAGTCTCACAAATATTTTAAATAATTAAAAGGGTGTATAATAATAGTTTTCCAAACACATTAACTTCGCTATATCAAGTACGTGCCAACGACGCGTTTCGCACAATCCAGAGCTCATCAGGCCGATTGGACACAATAAACACAGTACTGGTCGGAATGCTATTTGTATAAGTCAAATAATAATAATAGTTTTAAAATACAGGGCTTCAAAATTACGTGAGTTGAAAATTAAGATGTGTTAAAAAATAATTAGATCAAGATGTATCGAAATATGTTGATTACAGAAAGCTTTTAATTCGCGAGTTAGTCTTGAGGAATGGTTACTCTGAGAACTAGGCACAATATGTCAAAATAAGTAATTCATAACTTAAATGAAATATAATAAAATACTCATAAAAATATATATCAGTGTTTTCTATGATGTCCGGGAGAGGGTAAATAAGTGAACAAACTAATGGAAGGTTCAATTTGTAACGGCAAAAGTGATGGCGGTGGATTTTAAAACAATTTTGACTCTCAAATAAAAGTTAAATTAACTAAAATGGATGAAGATAAGATGAAAGTTAAGTCTATAAAAGGTAAACTATGTTTTTAAAAATATTTTTTCATAGCGATATGGTTCATGCTAGGACACTTGGGTTTATTTTATAGGATTAAAATGTAACTGATGCGTGTATACTGTAGTGTAAATAGTGATTTGACATTAGGTTAGGCCTAACGTTAACGTTTAAAATTGCAAACTAGAAATAGGTTGGTACAAATCTGTTAACATGTTATTACTTGTGTTAAGTCTACAGTATTACTCGTACTAAAACTAACAGTAGAGTAGTGCTACTGCTAGTAGCAGTAGTACTACGTAACAGTATATTACTGTTATTAATATCAAATTTAAAAAATTAAAGTTGAATTAAATTTAAATGCAAGTATCTTGTTGCACCATAGGTGCAGGACATTTTTGTTTACTATTACTAATCCATTAACGGCCACTGTTGTTTAGAATTAAAGTTATACTTATTGGCAGTCCATTCTCTTAAAAAATCAATATAAATTTTTTTTATACTTACAAGAATGCTATACAGATATTTTAGAATTCTCTAAATTAATAGACAATTTGTTTGAAAGTTTTAGCATAAAATTTAAAAATTGCACCCAGCATTGCATAGGTTGCTGGGTTTTTCCACTCTTTCCATTACAGTTTAACCCAAAACATGTAAATCTTAATTGAATACTTAATGTTATAAACCCAAATTTTTATTAAGTTTTCTTTTCATTAAATATCATTAACAGCCTAATAACAGTGTTATTTCAAAAAGGTGGGAAAAATTGTCATAGGAACCAGTTTTAAATTGAATTTTAAAACTGATTTCATCAGTGAAATACTTTAGTTAAAAAGATTCAGAAATAAGTTTTGTGTTTTATTACAGGTGTGTAAAACTAATTTTAACACTTTAAGAAGCAGTGTTATGAAAATTCACAGTAACAACCCCCGTTTTTTAAAGTTGCATTATTTAATTGATATAAGTTCAAAAATAAACACATTTGTAATTATACATTTAGGTTTGGAAGTGAATCGCAGCAACAATACAAAGTACCCAAACAATTTTTTAAATAGAAATATATATCTTGATATTTATAGTATGACTTATTCATAAACTAAGATGGTATGATTTATTGTTTTCAAAAGGGAAGTATTTTTTTATTTATTTTAATATAGGTTTATCTGTTAGTTTTTTTTTATTTATAGAGAAGATGAAACTTTGACATGTTTTAATTTAACAAATTTATAGCATAACCTAATGTTTAAAGACACTATGGGGTATGTTGTCCAGTTGAGACTGTCCCATCAACTAAGCTAGACAAAACTTAATAAAAAAAATAAAAAATATACTCCCTTTAAGCCAGCCTTCATCATAAACATTTATCAAGCCTTAAATTTACTGCCTTTACCACATTTGAATGTAACACATTCAAAAGGCTAACCACCATGTTAGAAGAAGAAAACTGTCTCAGGTGAAGATGACTCCTACCCTACAGAAGGTTATATGTACAAACAGGTGCCTCTTGCTCTGCGGTTTTCACCATTATGTATGAAAGAAAGATGATGGATCAACATCATCAATTCCCTTAACAATCTTAAAGATCTCAGTCAGTCCGCGTAAATAAGTCATATCCAAGGTTTATTTCTACAGTTGAGGGAAAGTGTAATACCCCTTGCTCTCTAGAACTAATACTTACATTGATGTCATTAGGTTTCATCTTGAGGTATCGCAATTTCTAGGGTCATGAAATAGGCATCTCCTTTTCAGGTAAATTCATTGTGTGTATGTTACATGTACTTAACATTTTTCAAACTTACAGCTTTGCCAATTCAACATATTTCCTCCAAGCTTTCATTTGTTATCTGATGATTTGAGTTTATGCAATGAGTTACATAGTACTTTTTATATAATTTTTGTTTTTGCAAATCATATTTTACATACTATATTACTGTGATTTAAAGTAGGTATTCCTCATTTGCCCCTTCAGAATTCATATTTAGCCAATTTTGTAAACTGTAAATCCAGTTAGTAGGCACCTAGCTTCATTTATTCCATTTTTGTTTACATTATATTATGCATTTCTTGGGCTACTGGAAGGAACAATAAATGTATAAGAATACATTGCAAAAAACAGAGAGCTGTAAATGTTTATGATATAGTACAATACATGTCAGATATCTTGTCACAGATGTGAAAAAACAAAATAGCATTGCTCATGTTAATAATTCATTAATATTCTAAATTTTTTGTGATACAATAAAGTTAATATGATGATTTATGTTTATTATCTAAATATTCTGGCATTAATATTAAATTTAGATCCAGCTGTTTAGTATACATTAAAAAATGTATTCCAATGATGCAGTTACGAGAAGTTTGTTTGATATAATAGTGTAACAGAAGTGTTTATTAAAATTTTAAGGCTGCATTATGCATAATTAAAATCCAATGAATTTATGCATATAGAATTATTGTAATGAGTACTAACTCATATTCAATACTGCTAAGTCTTTGTTATACATGAACATTCAAGACATTCAAATTGGAGATTTTGATTGCTTTTAAGACTAAGAACATGAGAAAAGACTAGATGACAAAATGCCATTTACTCCATTGAGATCACCCTGTAAAGAAACCAGCCCAATCTAAATCATCTGGCAAATCAATCCACAAGTTAATTCTAATGAAAAGTAGTGAGATTTGACTGATAACAAGTCTGGAATTAAGTTTCCTTTACTAACATTTAATTCTTCTAATACTTAAAATTATGTCCTCTAAACTTATTTTTACACCAGTCCAACAAACTTCCCATGGGCAGTTTATTAAGCTCTTAAAAATATTAAACACCAGTATCATGTCATCTCTAGCCCTTGTATGCTTCAGAGGAAACAAGATCAAATGTTTGAGTCTTTCTCAAGCAAAAATGTTTCAAACCAATAATCATTTTGGTGGTCCTACTCTGAACCTTTCTTTTTTATTCAATCAAATCAGTATCTTTTCTATAACAAAAGATACTAAAACTGAACACAGTATTTGAATTGAGGCTTTAACAAATACTTGTATAAAGTAATGATTACCTCCATATTCCTGAATCTCGAGTTTCTGTCAATAGATCCCAGAGTCTTATTTGTTTTTTGTATCATTCATCTCATCAGCAAAAGCCTCAAGGCTTTTATCAGTAACTAGCATAAAAGCCTGTCAAAAACGATGGGAAACCACTGGAAACCAAAACTATTCTGTATAAAACTGGCAATACACAAAAGAAATATAAAATTTCCTTTCTCAGGAATGTGCTACATATTGGTGCCTTTGGATAAAAGATTTAACATATAATGACCATGTGATTGCATACACACCTGTTCTTCTTCTGAGGAAATGTCATCCTCTTCCCTGGTATCTTCAGTCTGTTTTAACAAAGACTTTTTTGTTATAATTCCAAAGCATAGATTTGCACTAATTTTGACTTGCTTTTCACAGGTGTTGATAGAGTGCAAATGCACTTTTGTGTCTTCAATCAGAGGAGTCTTCCTGGCTTTCTATTCAGATCCTACCTAGCTTGACATCATAATGATGTGGATGATCTGGTGTCACACACATAACGCCATGCCTGATCTAGTCCTGGAAACTCCCTTCTTGACGGGCTTTTATATAGCAGAAAAAGTGCCAAAATTTAGGAGCTATTTATGCCTATGTTAGCAATTAAATTTAACTAAAATGTGAAAGGGGCAATCAAAAGAGGAACTATTATAGGAGGAAAAGTGGAATTGGACTTGTGTAAGTCACAAAATTTGGAGAAATCAAGTGTGACTGACCAACCATCACTTTTATACGTATTAATTAAACCTAAATTCTTCTTGCTTTATACAGCATTACTATTTTATTCACACACAAAATAAGGTACTTTTAAATTTCCATACCCTAAATGTATCCATTTACATTTATGAATGTTGAAACCCATTTTATACAGATTAGCCCATTCAACAAGGTTATCCAAGTCCTTCTGCATTAAGGAAACACTTTAAAAAAAATCTGTCTTATCCATCAGTTTAGTATCTTACAGTTTATACATTTATAGGCATAATAACAAACAAATTATCACTAGTTACATTTTCCCAGTAAGAATGATACCCATTTATCACCTTTTCAGTTTTTTCTTGGTTCCGTAAGAATCAAACTTATTAATTGTGAGGAACCTTATCAAATGCTTTCTGAAAGCCTAGAAACAGAATATCATCAGGGTTATCCTCATCCAGACAAACAAAAGTCCTATCAAAAAATTTAAAAAAACTAGTGAGAAAAAAAAAATATATAAAATAAAAAATCTTACTTATGCCATGCTAAGAAATTTTAATTACATTTTAGTTCCATCCTTCAAGGTGTTTTTGGAAGTAGTTCTTAAAAATAGATTCCAATGTTTACAAACATCAGAAGTTGGGATAATTGGCTTGTAAATTTCTAGTTTTCTACAGAATCTTTTTAAAGTCATATCACATTGGTTACCTCCCAATAATCAGGAATTACCACTGTACTTAAAAATTTGTGGAGGCTTTCAATT